CACACACACACACACACACACACACACACACACACACACACACACACACACGCACACACACTACTTTCATGCAGCTGCAACCTGTGGGAGGAACACAAATAAAGTGGCCTATTATTATTTCATCCCACCAGACCTTCATTTCCTGTTAAAGAGAATCACACTTTTTCACACAGTTATCAAAACTTTGTTAATCTCAAGTTCCTGTTCAGGTTGTAACTGAACCACAGCACAGAATAACATCATGGATGACATTTATTTAAACAACATAGCAATTAATCACAGAAAGCTAAAAGGGGACCTAAATTCCTCAGAAAATATTTATGTCACTTATGATGATATCCAAACTGTGGAGATGAACAGGACTGGACCTTCACCTGCATTCACAGGTAATAAACAAATAATTTGACACTGTTACAATTTTATGCACAAACACAGGCAACTTTACTAAACAAAAAACAACAACATTCTTTTACCTGTTTTAGCAATTTTGTATTTTGATGAATGAGAATTGACTGACCTGACTGAATAACGCCTGCTTTTGGCTACAATGTAGCTTGCCATCACCAGTGTGTGAATGTGTGTGTGAATGGGTGGATGACTGAATGTGTAAAGCGCTTTGCGGTCCTTAAAGACTAGTAAAGCGCTATATAAATACATACTGTTGTCTACAGTTTGAGCAACTATTGGCTGTATGTATGTCTCTGTGACCATAACTGATCTCATATCTCACAATACGCTAGCATTACTTACAGCAAGTGTCTAGTGGCTCCTGAAAGCTCCATCAGAAAGGATCTTTGTAAAGTTTCACTGCATCAGAGTTAAAATAATTATTAAACATGGATGAACTGTCTCAGACAAATGTTTCTGCGTTACTGTAAATGTGTTTTACTATAGTCTGTTCTGGTTTTGAGATCAGAATCTAAAGAGAACTTTCCTGACCCCCATCATCAACGCTGGTCAGTTATCCTAAAAAAGGCAATGTAGCAAATGTAATGTAAATAACAAAAGAGTTTTGGAAAATTAAAGCATTAAGTCTTTTATCATTCTGACAAAATATCAAAAAAGTATCACCCTGACTTAACTTAAACAATATTGAAGAGAGTTGTGTTTTTGCTATCATAGTAGGTGGGTAATGGATCAGAAATTAAAACTAGGTCATCATGGTGATCTAGATTTTTAAAAATCAGGGAAACAAAGAAAATATAATTTATTATTTTTGTCTAAATGACAAAAGGACTGCAGTCTTCTTTGATAAGAAAGGGTCCCCTGTGATGGAGAGACCTGTACCTATCACATGGTAGCCGAGTGCATGACAGCAGAACAGTTTTTCTGTGTTTGTTTGTCAGGAAGGCAGTTTTTCACTCTGGGAATAGTTCTGATTTCTGTTGTGCATGCAAAACATAAAAATAACCACATATTGTTAGAATAGTGCATGGAGAGATAGCACAGGTTTTTTTTTTTCATTATTCTAAAACTTCACAAATCTTGACTTATATGCCTAGGTACTAAATTTGTGAAGAAAAGTTCCTGCAGAGCTGCTGTGATTCTTCTGGGCCTGCTGTGTCTTCTTCTCTTGATTGGACTCATAACTCTATTTTTTCTTTGTGAGTACAGCAGTTAATATAATCTTTAACAGGTGATGAGTAGTTGTTTAACATGGTTTTCTTATTTTCTCATTTCACGGGCTCAACACAGTCACCCAAGGCAAATCTCAGCAGACGATAGAGATGATGATGTCATACAACCGTTACGAAAACTTGACCAGAAAGTGGAATGAGTTGCAGACCAGTTACCGCAGCCTAACAATTGAACAACACCAGTTACAGACCATGCACAGTATTCTGAAAATGGAACGAGACCAGCTACAGAAAAGCTACAACAATATGGTGGAAGACAGAGGCCAGCTCCAAAAGAGACTTGAAGACATGACCAAAAATAGAGATGATCTTCAGAGAAAGTCTGTCGGTAATTATTGTTATTTCACCTCCATAAAAACAAAACAAGTTTTGGGGGGATATTTTGAAGTAAGTAAGGCACAAATGTTTTTTTTTTCTCAGCACATTAATAATCTATTAAGGTTTAGGAAAAATATCAGGAAAAGTAAGGTTCAGTGCATCCCAAATGACATCTTAAGTAAATCTTGGAGCTAAATGTGACTCAACAAAAGTTTGAAGTTTTGAAATAATAGAAATTTATTATCCAAAGCAGCACACATGCAGTGTTGGTTCCCCGTGTTTGATTTATACAGTATATGTCAAATCACCCAATTAAAACCACTACAAAAGAGCTGATATAATACTGTAATATCTCAGTTAAGACTGCATTTAATCACTTAATTCAGCTGACTTCTTCGCTCAGGCTGAGCTAATTCATGATGTGTCTGCTGTTTTTCATTTCTCTATTTTGTTGTTAAAAAACTGTCAAACAACTAAATGCAGAAGTGATTCCACTACTGACAGCTGCTAGAAATGACAAAAGCAGCATTGCTTTTGCCTAACAGTGATGAGTTCACTGCAGAGATAAACTCATTTCACTCCACCTGCAGACATTCCTGTGTTTTTTTTTTCTTTCCTTTAACAGGTTGTCTGCGAGAATGGATGCACTTCAATGGTAGTTTATATTACATTTCTTCAAACAAGAAATTCTGGCAAGAAAGTAGAAATGATTGTCTCCAGAGAGGTGCTGATCTGGTGATTATCAACAGCAAAGAAGAACAGGTGATTTTCTAAATGTGGTTTCTGTCTATATGTGTGTTGTATATATGTCATATATATGTTATATATATGTTATATAATACATATATCTTTATATATATATATATATATATAACGTATATATTTTTTTTCTCTCAACAAGGAATTCACAAGAAATTTTCAAAAGCTGATGTGGATAGGATTGACTGACAGTGAGAAAGAGGGGATCTGGAAATGGGTGGATGGGTCTCTGCTTGTTACAAGGTTTTACTTTTTTCTTATTGTGCTGCACCACAAGATAAGTTAAGTTAAGTCTATCAAGTCTTAAAATCATTTATATACGACCTTGTGTCGGTGAGTGCAATGTAAAGAGAAATTACAAAAAGATCTTCATGTCTTCTCTCTTCTCTTCACTCTAAAAAGAACATGTCAACATGGCTTAGGTCTGCAAAGTTCAACAAATCACAGAACTTCTGGAATGTGCTTTCTCAGTCAAAGTCAGAATTTCAACTAGACTGCGTTTAAACAAATGGCCAAAAAACACAGCAAACTGAAGCAGCATTGTGAAAAAGAGTGGACTAAAATTCTTCTGCAACGATGTCAAACAGAAAGAACTTAACGTTACTGCTGCTAAACATAGTTAAACAAGATTCTGAGTCATGCGGTGTGCTTACTTCTTCACATACTGCTTCTATATTTTGGCTTAAGGTTTGTTAAATAAATTGTCACAAACATCTGAATGGCATACACATTAATTTGTGAGGACTGAAGAACAGGATGTAGGAGGCAGAAGTTAAAGCCAATGTAAGTATTTAATGTCATTAAGTCCAAACGTTACAAAGTTCAAATCCAAAATTTCTGAAATAAGAAAAATATGGATACAACATGATGGCTTGATGTGTTTTAGAAGAGATTTCACAAAATGATTTGACAAACAGGAAAAATATTGCAGTCTTATAGCAACATAATTTTTGATATCAAAATATCTGAATATTTTTTTTGTACAGATCCCATTAACGACTACAACTTTGTTTACTAAATCATCATTTTTTTCAATTCACTTTATATACTGCCATTTCACAACAGTCACCTCAAGTGCTTTATCCTGTAACGTAAACTTCCTAAAATATTAAAAAGAAACCCCAACAGTTACCGTATCAGCAAATGATTGATTAAGTACGGAGTGGTGTATGAACCCACAGGGAGTGAAAAGAGACGTGTAAAGAAGAAACACTCAGTGAATCACTGAAGTCCCCCCAGCAGCCCAAGAGTAATGCAGCATAACTAAGGATACAGGGTCACCTGATTCAGCCCTGACAATAAGTTTAATCAAAAAGAAAAGTTTCAAGCCTAATCTTAAAGAGAGAGTATGTCTTTTGCATTGTTTTTTGTTTTTTGAAATATTGTATTTTGTTTGTGTTTCAGCTACTGGGCTACTTTTGAGCCAAATGGTTTTCCACAAAGAGATGAGGACTGTGCAGAAATAAAGAACTTTCATTTCCCAAACAACTGGAATGATGAATCATGTGACCTTGAGAGAGTCTGGATCTGTGAGAAGAAACTGGCTACATAAATCAGCATCCAAACTCATCACACAGTGATAGAAAACAGAAAAGAAGTTCATGAAATGTATATGACTGATCCTGCTCACTGTTCCCTACAGTATAAGCTTTGCATTAAAAGTCCTTATTATCACTTCCTTGTACATGACAGTGTGTGATATAAAGAATCTCTATATTCTGTATATCTGTATATAGTATATCCCAAATATATTTAGGAAGTATGCATACTTCCACAGTAGCAGTCATGTACAGGTGATCAAATGCATTGGATTACCTGATGATCAGTAATTGTGAGTACCAAACTGCATTACAGTTTGGTACAGAAGCTGCTCTGCCAGCAGCCAGAAATCACTACAGAGGCTGGTGAAAGCAGCAGAGCACATCACTGGCTTGAGGATTCCTGCCATTCAGGACATCTATCTCCAGTGCTGCCTCTGCAAAGCACACAGCATCATCAAGGACCACAGCCACCCAGCACATCAGCTGTTCTCCTTGCTACCATCTGGCAGACGTTACAGGAGTCTGTCTGCTCGGACTACGAGACTTAAAAACATATTTGACCATTAAGCCATACGACACCTCAACCACAACACTTAAACAGACACACACACTCCACAGATGCACTGAGAATCTGTCCTACAGTTTCACAAGTACATTGTACACTCTGCACTGGTCACTTCATTCTTATTAGTATTCAAACAGATAAAAACCTTACTCTGTGCAATACTGTACTAACTGCCACTCAAAATTTTGTACTATTCAGTTTGTACTGCTGCTCACTCCTGCCACTTTATCTCATGTGCAATATCCCATTTGCTTTATTTTTAAACTACAGAAGTCTCTTTAAATGGCCACATGATGGTGCTGCTGTATTGGCTCAAAAATATTCAGTTAACTCCACCAAAGTTTAAATATTTAAATTACACATCACATAAAAATGACATAGTAAAAGATTACCTGGTCCTAAGCAAGTCTTAAAATTCTATGAATACAACCTTACAGCTGCAACAGAAATCAATGTTAAGAGAAACAGCGGGAATAGTATCTTTACATTGTAAGGTAAAGAGCCTGCAATGATACGGGATTCTTAATTCACTAATTCGTTTTTTGTATAGAGCATTGTACATCTGAACAAAATGTCTTTTTTGGGTGGTTTATCTTGTTCTCTCTCTTGATTTTGTTTTACACAGTGGAGAAGTATTTGTGGTTTCCTCATCGTGCTTGCATATTTGTGGACCTGAAGAGAGCGTTGCTGACTACAGACAGCTACAGACAGTTGCAGTGCGAGTGTATGTGTAGAAATGTGGTGGGTTTTGATGTTTCTTATACTCCCCACAGTAAATAAACAACCAGAGATCAGATCACCGGGGTCCTTCATTCATGCACTTAGCCTTGCGGGAACTACAAGAGGGCGGGTCCATGTTGTGTTTTCGGGCTGTGTCCAGGCTCCAGAGTGGGGCTCTGACAGGGTAGACTGGTCCCTTGATTTAGTTTCTGTCATAGGGGTTGAATCTTGGTCAGACCCCTTACCCAGGACCAATTTGCCTTGGGAAGACCCAGCAGGCCAAGAAGCTCTGTCAATTTCAGGAGGGCATAATGCTGCTAAAATACTTAGTAAGTGATACAATTCAACAGTTCTTGATGTTTATGTATAAAACAGGCAAATCTGAGTTGGACCTGGAACAAACCAGTTACAAAGAGCTGGAAGAAGAACTTAACCAGTTAAAAAACAGTTATAATGATCTGGCTAAAGTGCGAGAGCAGCTACAACAAAAACTTGAGATCATAAGGACAAATGAGCTTCCGAGTAAGTTATATATTTCTTTGTTCTTGTTGGATTAACGTCATCACTGAAAGTGATCTGTAAATACCTACGTTTAGCCATCAGCAGAAGGGCTACAGTGTTTGCATGCATGTAATGTTTGCAGCTGTTGTAAATGCTGTAAGTCTAAAAAAGATGACCTTTGACACTTTTTTCCTCTAGCCTACAAAAAGCCATCTTAACATTAATGTATCACCAACGGTCTTAATGCAAAATATGACAACTGTCGATCAAAAAACTATTTCAGTGGCAAAAATCTCACTACCATAAACTCGTAAGAGTTTATCAAGGTTCTCTGAATTGTGTACAGTATGTTCAAACCTGCACAGTGACATTTGTTCCAGACTTTTTTTTTTATTAGTGTTGCTTAAAAGACAACTTACACTTATCATTTTTAATGAGATAAAGTAGTTCCCTCTAAAAGTCAGAGTCACAACACACCTTTGAATCCATGAGTAAAAACGTTGTGCATTATTTTTGTCCTCCTCTGGAAATCATGAAGGTGAATGCAAAATCCAGTATATCCAGTTTGCTGACAGTTAAAATATTTCACTCTAGGCTTAAACTTCATACACTATTAGTTAACTTTATTTCCCATTATTATTAGTGCAAAATATATTTCACTAGAACATTGTCCTTTTATCAATTTTTCCGGTCACAGCTACTGGTACCATCCACAGCCTGACAATGGAGGAGGCGAACATATCGAAGAGGATTGTGCCAAGTTACTAAATTACAACAGTGATATGTTACTCAAATGGAACGACATACTTGCTTAAAAACTAATCACTGGATTTGTGAAACTGCTTTACTGTCTTGACAAATGTCTTAATGTTATTTTTCAAAAATATAAAATCTCTTACCACTGTCACAGAGATGATACCCTGTTTCTCTTTCAAGTACAATCAACATTCAGACCTTCGCTGCATTGTACACATAATCTGTCCAAAATATGTTTAAATCCATCAAAAAAAAAAAAGTACTACACAGTTCAGCATGAAGCACTTTACTTTAAGCTGGAAGAAGCAGGCCATGTGACATGTCATCATGTATCATACTGTATCGCCCAAAAGTATTTAATACAACTTTAGTCTTTTTGCAATATATCAAATATATTGTTGTTCATTTTATTTTTTCCCATGTTTCCATGTATGTATTTGTTTTTGTTTCATCTATTTAGATATAATGCTATTTGAATGAAAGTTTCACGGCGGGGTTTGCCGGTGTGTTTGAAAACCGGACCCAAAAGCAGATGGTTAGAGAGGAAGTAACTAGAGTTCACTTCCCTCCACTGTGAAAGACTGCGCTGAGAAGACGCACCACAGCTCAACTCTGTGAGAGAACAAAAAGAAAATCACAGACAAGACAATGATGGAAATGTGTCAGTGGCATTTACTGTACTATGAATATAAATCATGTATTCTATTTAGATGTTTAAACTGTACATTGTACTTGCTTATCAGACTAGACTGAAGCTGAAACTAGGATCATACTGTGCAAATAACTCTAGTGACTCCTAGTGCTAGTTTCAGAAAAGACACTCTATGGCCTAAAATACTAGACATTTTAATTAATTCACATTTGCTCTTCTAAACTGCCTGATCAAATACATTAACTTAATACAATATTTTAAAAAGTTTTAAACGTTTATTTCTTGTACCCTTTCTTCGCAGTGGCAAAATTGGAATTAATACTGTTATCAAATACATAAATACCTGTTTAGTAATTGATTCTGAAATACAATTAGCAATATGCACCAGGAGTCATTGCATGAAAAATCCTGGGACATTTGTATAATAAGGAACTATTTTTGCATTTTTTAAAAACCCTTCAATTTTTAGACACAAACCCCCAAATTTCCCATAATCAAGCTGAAAAAAATGTTAAAAAAATTATAACGTTTCATTTCAAGCCTGTCCCTCTCATCCTTAAATCTTGTTATGTTGTTTAGGATGCAAACTGAATGTTGCATCCTCAATCTAAGCATTAAAGCATGTCTTGCTTTGGAGATAATTGCGACTCACAACCTTTTTGCATGTACTATTTCTTTGTCTTCGTTATACCTTTGCAGTCTTTTTCACAGTCATGCTCAAGGAAACTTGGACATGTGCACCTGAGCCCAGTGTGACTGTTGGAGTTGCACAGTTGATGATGTGTGTTACATCAGTCTGTTACCTATACACTTCCACTTCCAAATAATGCAACATCAACCATTAGGTAATTGGTTTTCACTGTCAATGTTGACACTAAATTCAAACGTAAAATGAGTCTTTTGCTGTTTCACACTGTGGGTTCTAGTGATCAGCTGAGTTTTGTGATTTGATTCATGATTAATCGTAGTATTCGTAGGGTTCATTTTCTTTCCTGTCAGTTTTGTTTCCTGTCTAGCTCTCCCTGATTGTCTGATGCTTTTAGCCTTCAATGTTCACTTTTTAAAACTTAATCCCTGGCTGTTTGTGCCTCTGTAAATTATCTGAGATAATCATTTGGAAAACTGAACTTTTACCACACTCTGTTGCTTCATCAGGAAGATTACGTAGTCTCAGCTTTGTCATTGATCACTACGAGTTATGCAATGTTGGAAATTTTGGTTTGTCACCTCAAGCATTACCATTCAAAACATTTTTATTGTTGCTATTCTTTTCCCACATGGCTGCATGACTAAGAAGAAAAATCTTTGCCATTTATTTATTTATTCTGCGGCCTCACAACCTTTTTTAACCACAACATTTTTACTGCCGTCGATTATACTATTAGTAAATGGCATCTACAATTCTGCAAACAAACATTTTAATAAATGACCTTGTGTTTCTAGTTTTAAAAGACTTAAATACATTAATATTAAAATGACTTGCTAAATATTATCATGTTTAACAAAACGAGTAAATGCTGTCCTTAATTATAATTTGTATGGTCTTAATTTATCGCATATTATTTGTCATTATGCTGAATTGGGTTTTTCACAATATCAGGTTTCACTGCAATTAAGATATCGCTATGTGTCTGAAAAATATAAAATATAAATGCTATGAGCCACACAGAGGTTGGTTTAGATTTGATTGGGCAATATATTGTCGTAATAAAAATTAACCAGTGGGCTGCTATCAGTGCTTGTAGGGCCAGTGCACAGTTGCCCTTCAAGCCAGCCTGTAGCCTGTATAATTCCAGGCTATAGGCTGGCTTGTAGCCTGTAAAAAGTGCAAAATACAGTGGGGCAAAAAAGTATTTAGTCAGCCACCGATTGTGCAAGTTCCCCCACTTAAAATGATGACAGAGGTCCGTAATTTGCACCAGAGGTACACTTCAACTGTGAGAGACAGAATGTGAAAAAAAAATCCATGAATCCACATGGTAGGATTTGTAAAGAATTTATTCGT